AAGAAGCTTATTCAGCAAATATATGCAGGCTAAATATATATACAATGGAATTTGAAAGTCTGAAACCACTGGCTTTTTATTTAGACATGGACATTTTGAAATATTTTAAACAAGTGTAAATAAGAAATATTTAAGAAAGAGTAAGTGCTATTTCTAGGTGATTATTCAAATGTAAGTAAATTAGTGATGTTGATCATATGAATTTATTAATTTTTTTTGGCAAAATGTCTTAAATCATGCTGGATTATATGGATCATCAGCTCATCTTTTGATGTAAATTGTTAAAAAAATTTCTTTAAAAGGTCTTAATTTGCCATTCCACACATGAAGGCCTTAAAAAGGTCTTAAATCAGAGCAGAAAGTCTTAAATTCATAGTCACCCAAGTGCAAATGCAAAAAAATGAATGTCATCCTCAATATTTTTGTTTTGTTTTCCGATGCAAATATCTAAACATCCTTAAATCAAGATACATTTACTGGAGATGCAAACTGAAGAAATTATGCCTTGTTTTCTGAGAAATTGAATAAATAAACAATAACAAATATCTGTCAATGGGGAATGAAAACTCGTTTGCCCTTTTGAATTAGGTAGATTTTTCTGAGGCAATTGGCAGATTTGTATTTGTTTTAATCATGATCTCACTCTGTTGGAAGTTGTATTTTCAAACTTTGAAGCATTGCTATTATAAGACATTTACTTTTAGAGACATACACCATACATTTTCTTTACTTGGTCTTAAATTTACCTTCATAAAACCTGAACAAACCCTGTAAAGAAAGTGTTGTGTTAAATTAGAAAAGATGCAAAACAGAAGCATTTTTAGTAGTGCTCTCACCTCAGTTTTATTTATTATTATAATTTTAAATATGTATTTGTAAAGTATTGTTCTCTAAATCAGAAATCTCTATATTATTCCACCTTTTCATCGCTGAGATGGTCTCAAGCTCGTGGTATGAGGGGGGCCATTCATTATCGGAGCTGTTTGTGTGGATTCCAGCTCTATAATCCTCCTCTTTAAATACACTTACATCAACCATTGGCTCCGTCCCTCGTACACAATCCTCTGCCTATGAATTTTGTATTTTCATGTATATTTCCATCAGCGACTGCTTCAAACGGCGATATATCAGAGGCGCTGGGTTGGCTGGCTATGATTTAAAGATGGTTTGTGGCCACTCTGATGGTTTGTTGACTGGGTTTCCACGTTACAGAAGTCGGGTCTCTTCGTGTTATGGGACTATTTATTGTTTCCCACTTTTAATGTTATGTTTGGCTGACTGAGACTCCATGGTTAAGTGTTTGATTATTTTCTAAGAAGCTCCCTCCAAGTTTGTATGAGACATCAATGCCCCTCTTTGTCATGTAGAAGCACATTGGATATGGTGTGTGGCGCAGGAGATGTCGTCTTTGGTGTCCTGTCTAGCAGATTATGGGGTTTTGATTAAATTTAAATGACCTAATTTCATTAGACTTCAAATGCAAATGCATTTTTGTAGTATTAAGATAATTCCCTATCATGCATTCTTTTAAAGAGCCAGACAATGCTTTTTAAGTAATGTTCAGATTGCATGGAAATGCAATATAGCATCATTTAACACAACCTGATGATCATGTTCTCCAGCATGATTTGAGATGTTTTTAAGCTTAACTAGAGTCACATGTTCAGATTTACTCCAATTTGTCACCTAGAAATAGTGCAGAATTTAAAATATTTATTTTTCAGTGTACACCATAATGTTTTGCAAAGTTCAAAATCCTAAAACAAAAACAAAATATCAGGACTTTTTGAGGTAAAGAAGCGAACACAACTATGATTTGTTCTCCTCTGGTTTCTCTGTTTGCTTTGAGCAGCTCCAGCAGAAATGAACTTCTGCATCCGTGTGTCTCATATCACATTACAACCTCGTCCTCTGAGGAATCAAAGCTCATTTTTCTTACCATTCACTCTGTAATCTGTCTAATTATGTTTCCTTTTCTTGTTCTGTTGTTCATGTCTTTTTTTCCTGACACACTGTCCTTTATCATAGATTTTGGTCTCTTGAAGCTGTCCGGTTGTGAACGGGTAATTATAGATTTTGAGACAGATTATCGCACACATCACGTTAGTGACAAACTCACGTTAAGGAAATGCACATGGTTTGAGAGATGCAGTGATTTGGATCTAACGTGTCGCACATGGCGTAAATTATTTCAAGACTTCTGCTGCCAATACGACGTTATAAAAACGTAGATGTCCTTGATGTTGAAGCCAAGATAAATGCAAACTTTTTTCCTTCACAAATTAAGTTTTGATGATATAAAACAATGCAGCTAAGAAGCAAAGAGCATACATCTCTCATTTCATTTGTCTCTCAATGCATACTATTAGATCGACTGATTCCTTTCAATTTTTTACTATAAAACAATTGGGGATTTAAATTTCCCATTTTAAAAAACAAGCACTCCGCCTGGCTATAGATATTGCATTTCATTAACATTTAACTTGTTTTTTTTTTTTAATAAGCTGGACGTCTCTGACTGCTCGCTCTCTGAGGTTTGGTTACCCAGGTCGCGTTTCGTCCATTAATGTTGTTTTTCTAGCGTAAACGAGAGATGTGATTATCAATTAGCTGAATGAAGCCGCTCAATCCAGGCCAGGATATCAGCATTGGCTCTAAATGAGAAGCACATGTCACCTCTGAGCCCAACAACACGCTGCTAATTGATTAGTGACGCTCTACGAAATTTGCCAAGAGCTTGTTTAACATCTGTAAGTGTTGCATGTGACGGCCGTTCGTCACCTGAAGGAGTCTGAGTGTCATTAATAATGTTTGTGTTTGTGTAAATGGGGAAATGGGACAAGATGTTTGTGCTGCTGCAATGCGCTCTCATATTTCAGGCTCACGTTCGGAGCTGCGTTGAGTTTTGACGGGTAATGTGAATCTAAATAACCACTGTAGGATGCATTTCAGCATTCTAGTGTCTAGACCACCACTTAGTGCAAGCATCATTATTAGTGTATCCTACTTTAAGTTAAGGGTTTATTCTCATCCTGAACCCTGTTAACCCCGTTTAACTATTAACCCCATTCCAATCCGAATATAATATGCAATTATGAATTATTAACTTATAGGGAATCAAGAAATTTGATTAGTAGGTTAAGTTTTTAAGTACCTCAAAATTTTATAAACCCATTACGGCAGTAAAAAAAGCTCCATTCAATTGTCATTTTATTTATTTTTGCATGTTTGAAAATGCCTAAACTAAGATGAACGCAAATAAAGAGAAAAATTGAAGTGTTTGCATATTTAAGTGCTTTTTAGCTTCTAGAGAATAAAGAAATGAAATGATTTTTGATGCTAAAACAGAAGCATGTGATAGCGGACCTCAAAAACCTTTATAGACCCCTTATTCAGGGTATTTTGTTAAAAATTGGCATTTTATTTCCTTTCGCATGCTTGAAAAAGCCTTGACTGTTCTTGACTGTTTGCATGTTTGTTTAATTGTTTTTTTTTTTACTTCTAGATATCGAATGGGTTTTCAATTTTGATGCTAAAACAACAGTATGTTATATTGGACGTCAACAACTTTTATAGACCCCTTCATTTTGTTAAAAATCTCTGTTCAGTTGGCATTTTCTTTTCTTTTGCATGTTTCAAAAAGCCTAAACTTAAGCTGAAAACAAAAAATGAAAGAGTTTGCATGTTGAAGTGCTTTTTAATTTATTGGGAATCAATAAATGAAATGTTTTTTCTGTTTTAACGCTAGAACAACAGGATGTTATGTCGGACCTCAACAATTTTTATAGTCCCCTTCTGCAGTGCATTTTGTTAAAAATCTCCTTTCATTTGGCATTTTATTTCCTTTTGCATATTTGAAAAAAGCCTAGACTAAGCTGAACGCAAATAAAAAGGAAAATTAAAGGGTTTGCATGTTTAAGTGCTTTTTGTCTTTATAGGGAATCAAGAAATTAAATGCCATCAATTTTGATGCTAGAACAACAGCTGTCTAGTGCCAGTTTGTGCTTTAAATCAATGCAAGACACTTGAAATGGATGTTTCCTGATTTTAAAGGTTTGTAACGAAGGTATGCAAGCTCACTGTGTGTGTTTTCCTAAATTAGTTAGAATGCAATAACGTAAAGTGGTATATTCTAATGCTTTCGTGGCATGTGAGGTGTAACGCGCCTCTTGCGGCCTCGTGTTTTAGACGCCACCTCGAACGCTTTGATGTGCATCGACAGTGATGACAAAACCATGTAGCTCACGCCGCCTGGCTCCGACTCAATATCCTGCCTCCATACGTTTGTCTAGAAGGGCCTCCGATTACATCGGCATGAGAAACTTAATGAGGAAAATACTGTAAGTACAATCTGTGATCGCTCTGTCAACAACGTTTTGTATTTGTATTTCCATACGTGCAGTGTGATAAGATGGAGATTTGTTTGACTTTTACATGTTAGTATATTTTGAATAGCTGAGGTATTCAAATAGGTTTTGCATAGATTGTGTTTTACATGTGGCTTTTTTGTGTGCTGTATAATGCTGGACTCAATTTTCACTCCCGGTTGTCAGACCTAAAGACTTTGTTAAAAAGCTCCGTTTTGTTTCCTTTTGCATGTTTGAAAAAGCTTAAGCTAAGCTGAACGCAAATAAAAAGCTTGCATGTTTGTTTAAGCGCTTTTCATTCATAAGAATAAATAAAAGCTCCCTCGTTAACCATTTATCAATTAGAATTAACCACTGCAAGTCCTGCACTATTGCAAGTCTTCCACATCTTGTTCTAATGTAGCTCTGTAAATTGAAGCAGAGTGAATGTTTATACATCCAGAAGGGTTTTTCTCTGTCGTCCCACATATGCGTTTTTAACTTACACAAACAAGTCAGCATCTCGCACGCACGCGAACCCAAACACGCCGACTTTTACCGTGCGCGTGCGCCGTCGCTTATCGACCCGCTCGACTTCTGTGTGACCCGCCGCTGAACCACAGTGAAATGAAAATAATTTTTCACAGCACTCACCCCAGAAAAAGTTCTGCTGACACGGAGTCACCGAGCTGAAAAGACTGTTAGACGCCATAGCCACACGTGGATCTCCTCTGCTCTCTCCTCCTCTGGAGGTCGTGGTGACCCTTGAAGTCCTAAAATGGGAGCACAAATCATATCAAGGCATCAGAACGCAAGCAGTGGCAAACAAACAAAAGCAGCCGGCGCACGGCCGCATGCTTCCCAGAGCGTTGAGGCACAGATATCGACGGCATATACGAGTGTGGTTAGAGCGTACTTACTGACTTGTTGGGTCTCTGTGACTGGGGTTGACCCACTCTGATTAACCATTTACGCCCCAGTGGCTCCCTCCTGTCGTCCTGGGGAAATCTCGTGCACCGCACTTGTGGTTCTGTGGTTGTTTGTGAGGGGAATGAGACATTCTCGCAATCCAAAAACGTGTAAGCTTTAAAACACACTTTTTTTCCCCTCCTGATGGGCTGTTACTGGAGAGGCTGGGTCATGTGTTCGGTGACATCAGAGCAGCCGAGAGGGTTCAGCCCTCTTGTCAGTGGTGCTGCGTTTCCTACTCACATCCAGCGGGATGCAACCTCAGCTCCTGTCAGTCTGAAGGGAAGGGGCTGGGATTTTCGGCAGCTCCGTTTCTGTCCTTCTCAGCCTCTCCGTGTCTCGGTCTCATTCCTGCGCTGGTTAACTCTGCTGTTTAGGCTCCAGGTGTGTCTCCGCGTAAGTTGCATAATCGGCTCTTTGAGAAATGACAGTCGCTGCGTTGGCTCTTGGATCACGTCTGGCTCTCGACGAGCTTAACGAGCGCATTAGCGGCCGTGATTCATCCGTCTGTTTTGTGCGCCTCACAGGTTTGGAGTTTGGCACGCGGTCAGAGCGCCCCTCAGGTGTTTGTGAAAGCACGAAAAAACATGTGCTTCTGCAGCGCTCTCTCTCTCTCCTGTTTCGGGGTCATGTTAGGTGCTGCGCTGAATTTTGTGTGTTCATATGACTTTAAAATCAAAATTACACTTCCTAGGATTTAGACCAACACTTAAGTTAAAGGAGGGGCTGAGCCACAGAGCAGGGTATCAGTTGAGAGTGAACTCTTTTGATTTGGAGTAAGTAGGCACCTTAGAACAGCAACTTAGAACAACCTAGCAACATTAGAACTGCAACTTAGAACAGCCTAGCAACCTTAGAACAGCAACTTAGAACAGAACAGCCTAACATCATTACAACAGCAACTCAGAACAGCCTAGCAACCACTCAGAACAGACATCCTGGCAACATTAGGGCAGCTTATCAACCATTACATACATATTTGTCTATATTATATATTGTGTTTTTGGTATTTTGTACATTGTCTATTTTGTATATTTGTATATTATTCTTTTTATTATCTATGTCCTGTCTTGTCACTGTCATTCTGTTGCACTGTGGAGCTTCTGTCACTAAAACAAATTCCTCGTATGTGTAAACATACCTGGCAATAAAGCTAATTCTGATTCTGATTCTGATTCAGGACTGATTAGGAACCACTCAGAACAGCCTAGAAACTATCCAGGACCAGATACATCATAGTAGCCATTAAGAAAAACCCAACAACCACTTAGAACACCCTAGCAACCACTCCGAATAACCTAGCCACCACTTAGAACAGCCTAGTAACTATTCAGAACATCATAGTAGCCACTCAGAAAGGCCCAAGAACCACTTATAACACCCTATCAACCACTCAAATCTGCCTAGCAACCACTTAGAACACCCTAGAAACCCCTCAGAAAACAATAGCAACCACTCATTACACCCTGGCAACCACTCAGATCTGCGTAGAAACCACGTAGAACACCATAGCAACCACTTAGAACATCCTAGCAACCACTCAGAACAACCTTGCAACCACTCAGAACAATCTAGCAACCACTCAGATCAGCCTAGCAACCACTTAGAACATCCTAGCAACTACTTAGAACAACCTAGCAACCACTCACAACAACCTAGCAGCCACTTAGAACATCCTAAGAACCACTCAGAACAACCTAGCAACCACTCAGAACAACCTAGCAACCACTTAGAACATCCTAGCAACCACTCCGAACAACCTAGCAACCACTCAGAATAACCTAGCAGCCACTTAGAACATCCTAACAACCACTCAGAACAACCTAGCAACCACTCAGATCAGCCTAACAACCACTTAGAACACCATAACAACCACTCAGAACAGCCTAGCAACCATCTATAAAAGCCTAGCATCGTGGTGGCAAGTTTGCACTCACATATTCTTCAGAAACTGTAAAGATCTCCTGATGTTTCTCCTAGACTGCTTATATTATGGGATGGCGGTGTGTATAAAAAAAAGGAATCTCAGCTCAGTGAATGTGCTGTGGTCATGACAGGAAATGTTTCGCCCACAGCAGATCAGACCGTTCGCTCCCTAAACGTCTGAGAACAAGACTAATCAGACAAACGCTTTATTGCGCTTAGTAACTTAACCCAGAAACACGTAGCTGCATTATTTAAAGAGACAGTTCACCTAAAAATGTTTTAAAGAATGTTGGTAACCAAACAGTTGATGGTAGCCATTGACTTCCATAGTATGGGAAAAAATACTATAGAAGTCAATGGCTACCGGCAACATTTTTCAAAATATCTTCTTTTGTGTTCAACATATGGGTTTGGAACAACTTTAGGGTGTGTAAAGGATGACAAAAGTTTCATATAAAGGTGGAAGTAATATAAATAATATAGAAGTTAATGACTACCGGCAACAGAAGAGTAATTGGGTGAATTTTCTCTTTAAGCTCAAAAGCCTTGTGCTGCTCTTGTATTGCGTCAAGCATATTTAAATTTTAATTGATTCATTGTCATTCTTTTGTACGATAATGGGGCTCATTATAGAATGCCGTTTATTGTCCATTTCCTGACACTAAATTACCGCCCACATAAAGCTGCTGATAAACCAAGGTTTATTTTAATGGGATGTTTGTGTATATTTCTTAATGATAATGACATTAACTCTTGCATGGAGGAACTTCCTGATTTAAAACATAAATGCCGCTCACTGTCTTTTAGTCATATTTTGCATGCTTCAGTTTTGACCAGTTATGTGATTTGTGTAGTTCCTTTAGTGACTCAGATGCTGAAACAACACAGACATACAAATAAATGCTAGCAGGAGGGCAGTTCATTCTTAGCAAATGTACTTCTGTTGTTCATTTTCCAGCCCAGAATTTATTGAATTTAATAACTGATTTAATAGTAATATATTTTATTCATTTAAATTTTCTTTTTTGACGGTTTGTAATTAAATATGGAAAAATGTTGCTTGTGACTTTAATGGATCCATCGCAATTTGATTTGTTTTTTTTATTTGAAAATATTTTATTTTATTATTTATTTTATTTTAATATTTTATTTTATATAAAAACCATACACTGTTTAATCTTAATAATATTTAATTATTAATTTTTATTTAAGAAAGTACATGGGATGTTCAGTGAAGGAAAAAAAATGTCTCATTTGCAAAAGTTGTTTTAAAGACAGGATTTTTATTTTATTTTATTTTATAAGAAAGGCTGTTCAATGAGTAAAATGTTTCATTTGCAAAAGTTGTTTTAAAGGCATGAATTTAATTTAGTTTTATTTTATTTTATTTAAGAAAGAACATTCAATTAGTAAAAATGCTTTATTTGCTAAATTTGTTTTAAAGGCAAGATTATTTTATTTTATTTTATTTTAATTTATTTTATTTTTTTATTTTATTTTATTTAAGAAAAGACATTCAATTAGTAAAAATGCTTTGCTAAATTTGTTTTAAAGGCAAGATTATTTTATTTTATTTTATTTTAATTTATTTTATTTTTTTATTTTATTTTATTTAAGAAAAGACATTCAATTAGTAAAAATGCTTTGCTAAATTTGTTTTAAAGGCAAGATTATTTTATTTTATTTTATTTTAATTTATTTTATTTTTTTATTTTATTTTATTTAAGAAAAGACATTCAATTAGTAAAAATTTGTTTTAAAGGCAGGATTATTTAATTTTATATAAGGCTGGTTATATTTTATTGTACTGGCATGCACTGATTAATCATTCACAGTAAGAGCGAGATTGTGTGTTAGGAAAGTTTGTGATTTGTGTAGTTCCTTTAGTCACTCAGATGCTGAAACTACACAGACAGCATGTGCAAATAAATGCTAGCAGGGAGTGCGGTTCATTCTTAGTCAATTTATTGCCATTTCTCGTTTTCCACCTCAGAATTGAGTGATTTTTCACACTGGAAGGTCAAACGAGAAACTCCTGACTGCACATTCTGCTAATTATAGCCGCTCACGAGACACCTTTCTTTCTTTTTCTTTCTTTCTTTCTTTCTTTCTTTCTTTCTCACTTGTCTATTTTTTTTAAATAACATACTGATTAATTTGTCATTCATTCAAATAGTAAATAGTGCTCATGATATCTGTGCTTTTGTTGAATATCTTTGATTTTTAATCTTCTTTTGCAAACCAAGCGGTTTGTTTTTTAGTGCACAGGCATCTTTTACATTCTCACAAAATATAATTCCATAATTTACAGTCTCTAGGATGCTTTTGTGAGTGTTGACCGCCAAATTGACCTGGTGATCTGAAACGCTGTGGATTCATGTTGGCAAAGGTCAGGACGAGTAGAACCATTGTGTGTGTGTGTGTGTGCCCTTCTAAGGCCCGGCTTTAGCTTGGCCCGCTTCAGTTCAGACCACACAGGCATAAACAGGGCATTAGATGCTAGAACATTATTCCTGGCTGCCGGAGGAAGTGCGCACTAATGCTTCCAGGAGACGTTACACCCCTGCACAGTTTCACACGTTCATAAATTAGAGCGGTTATGAGTTTACCGTTGAAAGCCATTCTCTATAGATAGCATTAAACGATGTTAGAGGTTATGTTTGCTAGTTTAAATTCTATCAGTGGCGTCAATTGGGCTTGAAATTGTTAATTGGGAACTGTCGTACAGACTGATGCTTCTTCATTTTGTTGTCACATGTGCATACATTGTGAAATACAATGTGCCTTTTTTTTTTTCTTTCAATAACCGAGGCCGTGACTCATCACTGTCACACATGCATGCTGTCTAACATGACG